GCCAGTCTTCCGAAATCAATGGTCACAGCGCTCCCTGCACGAATACCGGATCTCGCAATGTATCCGCTGATGTCTTACGTGAGAGAAATTTCAGCTTGCCCGGCTATCAAGCCATCCACCGAGTGGCTCATGTGGATGCTGAAGGGCGAGATTCGCAGCAGGGGTCTTTCGTGATTAGTCACTTGGGGGTTCAAGAAGAAGAGGAAGACGAAGACTACCAGCGTCTTTCGGACTTCTCATCAATTCTGGCTGATTTGGAACTCACCACAGATCGAGAGATACCAAGCTGTTGACTTTCGGTTCAATCACTGCTTTCTTCCTCCTTTCCTTTTTTTCTAATAGAGTTTCACGACGCACCTGCGGTAAGCCTTTCTACGGATATTCCATAAGCTTCCAAGCTCTTTTCTCACGAGCGCCGTCATAATACCACTTAAAATACCGGTTCTTTCCAGCTCACCGTCGCACCCAATCCACCGACCGATTTTGACTATTCTTGACGTAGGGATTTCCGTGAGTTTACATTTATTTGTAAGATTTACTTAATTTTCCGTTTTCGTTGGTTTCAGTCGATTGTGTATGTGATTTGCTTTTTTTCTAAACAATAACTACCCAGAGAGAGCAGGTCGTTTGACTTGGCGGCCTACCAAAATACAATGTTCTCGGATTCGGAAAACATGTCCACATAGTACATTTTATCCTTGATGAAACAATGTACATTTTTCGGTCTGTTTATTTACCTCCTGCTTTTTGTATATAATTCTATATGCATCTGTAGCAGCGGCAGAGTTTGCCATAAAACTCGCCTATTACAATATGCACATTTAAATAGCTTGGTGCTCCGGATGCATAAAATACTGCCAAAGAATTCTTGAGTTGGAGTTATGCACTTCATCCCACAAATTTGTCAGTCTACGCGGGAAACCGGGGAACAATGCACATAGCCATTTCATCTTTACGGCGAATCGCTAGTCGTCATCTGTAGAATTCAAACGGATATTCAAGACTGATGTCATATCTGGGCAGGGTTTGAGCACTATTCTCAGATGCAAGCTGACGTTTAGTATGATTTTTCTACATTTATACCAATCGGAATAGTTTTCTTAGACGGCAATAGCAGTACTCTACCAGGGATATTTGTCACTAGCCTAATCTTTTTGGGGAATAGATTATTAGCCTGTGGCCGAGAATACAAACGAACATTCAGGGAAGGTTATATCGCTTCTTGCGATTGTGACTCATATTGTTTGCACCTGGAGGGCTTCTCAAATGGTGCTCATTGACAGCTTCCTCTTGGAATGTATCAATTCAAAGTCCTACTTTCAAGGATGTGTGTTGTACTTCTTTGGTTAGACGCCTGGCTACCGCACTTGTTTTGACTAAGACGGAGTACAGGGTCCATTGTAGAAGAACTTCATGCACACAGAGAACCAGATTTCAGGAATGCAATACGATAATACCTGATTAAGGCAAACAGACACGAATTGTTGTTAGACGATTTTTGTTAGACGTTTTTGTCATGCAGAAGCCTTCGTTTTGGGGTTAAAAATGAGGGTCGCTTAAAAGTTGATCCGAACAAGTTTCAATACCACTGACTATACTACTTATTTGAACTCAGCATACCGTAAAAAGCACGAGGCGGAAAAAGAAAAACAAATGGGAGTGACTGTCTGAAATTGGGGTCTGACTATTTCGGCGTCACTACAGTTACGAGATACAAAAACAGAATAACTTAATTTTGGGCTATATTGTGCTTGGCGTAAACCAGGTTTCAATCTGCCCGACGTCGCTGACGCCGAATTGGCCTTCCTCAAGAACGTGGGCTGATCTGATTTCGCCGGCAGCTCATTACCAATTTACTTCCAATTACAACTCATCAGGTAAACATGGTCCTCACCTTTCCAATCAGCCTTATTATTTGCGTCATTATTACGAATTATTCATTTACACACGAAGATGGTTTCATGTGGAACTAAACCAGGGCTCAGGTATTTGTTACTGACGTCACTGGAAATGTGGTGCGCCGGTTTTAATAATTGACGGTCAACTTACGATTGTTTCGAAACTGCACGTTTACTACTAAATTCGGAAAAAACGTGCGTTTTACAAAATGGGCGTAGCACTGGTATGAAGGTCACCCTGGATGTGGGACTTTCGTGCTAATGAGTCGTTCGGCTAATAACCGAGAAGGGCTGCCGAACACAGCTAAAGTGTGGGAACTGTCAAGCAACAGTCGCCTCATTGAGGTATGGGTTTTTGTTGAACGGGTAACGGCGAATTATTTAAGTTCCTCTGTTTCTGAATTCATCTGGAAGTCAACTGAAGCAGCGCTTTTTTTTCTGTCGTTTACAGGATCACTTGCGGAATACCCCAGCATCACGTGGTTCACACGTGTAGGCCATACGTCCAATTTCATTGTCACCAGGCCCGTAGTAAAAAAGCTGCGTTGGACGGGTGTACCGAACGTTTGTACATCCGCTCCTCCCCTCAAACCGGTTCACATTTTATTAGTTCATTAAGGTAGTCTATCTTGGCTGCTCGTCTGATCTGGACTCTTTGATGTACATAATGCACCCCATGGTACTAGTTCCTAGCATTTGGATAGGGGATGCCGACCTCAGAATCCACAATAACTTTCCGCCTTTGAATTCGTTCCTTACTTTAGCTATTTGGGCGGTCAGTATTTGCCGTCGTTTTCGTGCTTAAAAGGCGTCTTCCTTCGATGGCTTAAACGAATATGGAAGCCATGTAAAATGTGGGAAGTAGCTGATACAAACAAATAGTAGCTATCTTGTCAGTTGGTAACCGTAGCGAATCATAGATACATTAGGCCTCAACGGAAAAATGGTTAGATGGCTCAGCCAGATTTGAAAATGGCCTGAAAAGTAGGATTTCTTCGGTACAAACAGGGTAAGTATCTAAGAGTAGGGTGCAAAATGAACCAACATCAGGGTAGCAGTGCGAACCATTTAGTTCTGAGAGATATGTTAGGTTGGTAGAAGGCATCGGACTCCAGATGGTCTTCCTGGTCTACGCCGGTTTTCCTCGACTTTTTCACTGTGCTTCAAATCTCGCAGAACTACAGTGAGGTGTAACTAGCTTGAACTACGGGCACACGACACAATGAAACCGCATCCTAATTGACCACGTGAATAACGAATAAGTGTGGCCTATTTGACTAAAATTATAAACAGGAAACAAAAAATATCGTCGGACGAAAAGTGATGCAGTTATAAAATCGAAGGCATTCGTCCCTCTCTTTTAGTTGGATGGCCGCGGGAGTTGCCTTGTCCCAGTTTGTTTGTGTCAAGATTCAGTTTTGTCGGAGAGAGAATAGGTCGTTGTGGATCGCGGGTCACAACGAGTTAACAAATGAACCACTTGGATACCAAATACTACCTAGCACTCTACCCTTGGTAACAAAACAGACATACAGTGGCATGAATTTTGTCCATCCTAATACAAATGCCCACGTCAGTCTGTGTTCAGAGTACATTTCATTGCTTAATCTGTCCGATTAAGCGAGACGGCCGAAGTGGTTAGAGCGCGAAATTACTGACCGGAAGGTCCGTGGTTCGAAACCGCCTTCTGCCTCTCGACTTCCCCTGTCTAGGCTTGGGCAACCTGGCAGTATCCCAGCCCTCGTGCAACCTTTGGGTGGTATGGCAGCTAGGCACCGGAAGGGTGCTACAGCTGAACGGTTTTTTTAATCTGTCCGAAACACAATGCCCCAAAAGCAGGTAAGGTAAACGCTTACCCTACACAAGTTCTCTAGTGAAATGATTCGGTAGGTGACATCGCAAGGTAGGGTAGATCCTACTGCAATAATTTCGCTCCGATGAGAGTAGGGAGTTTAGTTCAGGGATTCGCGTACCACTCGGTCATTGATCATGAATTGGAAGTTACTTTTCTGGCTTTGAAAAACCAGATTTCTCTTGTCCAAGGGCTGTACAATTTGTCCTAATCTAACTTCAGAATACTAAGATGTGCCTCCATGTTTCCATTTCTCAAACAGTGGAGTTATAAAATGGAAGACTGAGGCATTGTGTAGCCACATTAATCCGGATTGAATCGAATATCATAGATTATCTTGAAACATTCCCATTAAGATTTAACTGTGAAGTTTTATGAATTACCCTAACACCCTATTTCGCAACGGTGAATACATCTGCATACTGAACTAAAGGCTCAGTGGTTAAGGCACAAACTTACTGACTTGGAAGGTCCGCGGTTCGAACCCACCTCGATTGCTGCTTTCTAGATTTGGCGAACTGATTTTGCTTAGAGATGCACGCGAGGTTCGCCTCTATGTTTTCTTTACGCTTTCATTAGCAGGTGTAACACAAGTGTTGTGTGACAATTCGTTTGGGGTACTACTTAAAAGGGTATTGAATCTTATTAGTATGGAGAAACCGGTAGATCGTTAACGGTTTCGTCTACCAGATGAACCATAAGCAGAGCAGCACCTGTCATGGGATGAGGACGTAGCGCGGTTCAATTCTGAAGCACATAGAGCAAGCACTAACCCAAGGTGGTTCGAAATGTAAACGATACATCCGGTCATGATATCCCAAGTGAGTTAGCAAAGTTATGGTCAGTTTTTAACGAATCTGACAAACGGAATTTACTCTACGAACAANTAAACCGGATGAAATCCACAATCAGCCATGCAAGTTCAGGAATAGGAAAACTGATTTGGGTTTGATGATTGAGCTAGAACGGATAACTGAATGTACGACAAGAGGAGACTTAATGTCTGCACAAAACTTTTTTTGTATAAAACGTCTAGGGTAAAAATATGGACACCAACTGTTGCCAGATAGAATCTTGGAACGTCCTGTACTCTCCAATCTTTCATTCTGGGCCAAAGCGGAACCGCTCGGGTCGCGTCTTTGTCTGTTCCACAATATGGGAGATATATGCCCGGAGATTTGCTTCGGCAACTGTCGGTGTAGCTGCCTCCACGAGACACCCGTTGGGAGAAGGGGTGGTAATAGGTTTGCCTTTTAGCTTGCAACTTATGATGGTATGACTGATGCACCAGGTATATTCTTTTAGCATGATAAACTAATGTGGCAGCCACGTCGTCGAAGGTGGACGATGCGTGGCGGCAGAATTAAACTATGGTCCCGTTTGACAGAGAACTGTATAGAGGAGCACATTCAACATAGGCCGTAAATTACGGGGTAAATAACATTTTTGAACGAGTCAGTTTGGAACCTGGAAAAGACTGGCCTGTCAGAAATCCCAACACGCTTTTCATAAGGTTAATGGACGTTCTGGTATGTTGAATTCAGAAGTTCACTTTCACCGTTTGAACGAGAATTAAACGCGGAGAACTGGAAATCGGACGGCAAATGCTAACTTATGAGTAAATTCGGTCGATAAGGAACCTCGTAATTGAAGGAATTTTTATATGCAGAAAATTAGTGATGGGGCACTAGCACTGTTCTTTGCGATCAATGAAGCCTTGACAGAACGCGTTCCCAAATCCCTATAGAGACAGCCGGCAGAAAGCAGCTGGGCACGATTCTTCGACTGTGCTTCCGGATGCACTCGTTCAGCCAATTATGGGGCTCGGATTTTCAGTTTGTAATTTCGCCCCTGAACAATCGCGTTTAACGAAAGATGAGCACTTCCAGGTTCCGAAAGCGGACCATCATTTAGAATGCCTCATAAATACGTTACATGACAGAATTAGGTGAAATTTCCCTAAACAAATCACGGATGCGGGTAGCTGTTACCACTTCGTCCTTGCAGCTTAGATATGTGCCGCTAATAAGGCAGCGTTTAACATCCGTTCAAACGGTTCATAACATTTCTGGGGAATTATGAAAAGACGGAGACCGGCTAACGTAATTTCCTCCAGTTCTTGCTTCTACGGCTATCAATGTTCTACTTTCTGGTGGTGAAACTTTTAGCCTCACAATTTTTCAACATAGACATTTGTCACGTCTCGCCTAGTAATAGTTATATTGCAGACGATTTACTCTCGAAGCATCGCGTATCTCACAGCTGCTAGCACTGGGTGGACATCCAGTGTTTACCAAAACAAATGGAATGCGTGCCGCCTCACGTGGGGACTGAAATCGGATAATTTCCCCAGTAATTCTTGACCAACAATCGCCTCCATTTCAATAGTATCTTTCCGCTGAATTTCAAACCTAAAGAACCTTTCCACTGGCGTTCCTTGGAAAAATTATAGGCCTCTTGAGTCCGCTGACGAGAGAACGCCGCTTAGTCAGCTCCGTTAGGAGATTATTTAGTCGATTTCATATTTGACTGAACGGAATGCACAAAACTGAACAAATACATGGTTGCAGTGGTTCACTCATCAGCACTTTCCAATGGCACGCGACGAGGAAGTCCCTGTCAAAATAGACGAATGAATCCTGAAGTTGGTGCTGAACATTAGTGTTTCTCTGATGCTCTTAAACTACCTGTCTCAGTTATTTCCGAACCAATCACTGACAAAAAATCATTGAAATAACGAATACGCGCCCACGCGGCAACTAGTGGTTTGATTATGAACTGACGAAGGGTTTTGTATTCCGACTATTTCTCTTATTCGATAAGCCTTATATGTCAACAGATAACAACACCTGGTATTGCTCACAGTCGTCTTATGTGGAGCCCAAGAGACCACGTCAGAGGCGTACTCGAATGGAGATTACAGTGTATTTGTGGTTTAGACTTGGACTTGGGACTCCGAAGACATTTGACGCACAAGACAACGGACGTCAGCAGCTGAAACAGTATAGCAAGCGGACGTCACCTTGAAAAATAGGGGAGCTAAGCCGTGCACATTGGGACTGTGCAACACATACTACTATTTCTGTGCGTACGGAATACCACTGACTGCTTATTACTGAAATTTGATCCGCCCAAAAAACCGAATATCTAGTATTGTTATGACTTCCATTCAGTTAGGTAGGGAGTCGCCAGTGATTCGGGCCTCCTGCATGTCGATATGTATCAATCAACCAGTGCATACAGCACCAACGAAGTTTCACTTGAAGGTTTGTGATCGCTCGCTTATTTGCTACTTGATTCTGCAACCATAATTGGATTTCCACCGATTTGTGGAAGTATTGGTGCTGAATGTCATATTTCCGTCTCAACAAGTGACCGTGCCAATTTCACTCAGCCACATTGTGTATTCGGCGGGCTGAGTATTATGGTTGGCGTATCTTAACTCTCCACATTAATCATAGCTGTACAAGCTAGGTGAAAAAAGTAATTAATTCATGCAAAACTACATAAATTTCATTACTTGAGCGTTATATCGTGAAGAGTATTCAGCAGCAGAAGATAAGGTTTTAAGATTTTGCCACCACCACTATAGGAAGAACGCACAAAATCAAACCATCTTCTCGCGAGGGGATTGTTGTGGAAGTGCCATCGTTCCTCGTGACAGCGAATACTCTAGGAAATCTGAACCGAAAGTATCATCCTCTGGTATAAGGACCACAGTGCAAGTAAGTTGCTTCACACGTCGCTTGAATGCCAATTTTATGACGACGACTGACGGAAACCTGACAAAAGACACAAATCATAGCAGCGCACATTTGCTTCCGTCATCTCAGTAGTTCTCCCAGATCTCCGCACACTGCGACCGAATTAATCTGATCACGCCTGCGTGGGTCTGATCGCAACCGATCTGGAGCTATCATCGACTGTTGTCTATCCGTTTCACCTATTCTTTGTCCTCGGGATCGATGATAAATATCCCCATAATTCACCGATTCGAACGGTTGTTTCGAAGGAAAACTGCACAGCTTGAGACTTGAGTGAAGGCGCAACACTAATGGTTAGTAAGAACTACTGAAATTGAGTTGCCTGATGCCCCTAAACCAGTACGAACTGAGTGTTAAGCAGTCCCCGGAAGTTACGCGGGAGGTACCCATTGAGTTATGCGCTAGGAAAGCAAGCTTTAGCCACCTGAACAATAGCTGCTGCAGGCGGATTCCTCATAGAAAGCCAATTTTTGCCACAGCTGTGGCATCTGGCAAGAACAGACAATGCTTCTCCAAGGCGTCTATACGACAACCTCCTCCAAGAGCGATGATTACGCGAGAAAGGTATTTCGGTTGGAGAGTACACACTGAGGCGCAAACCACGGGGAAATATATTTTGAACATTTCAAGGTGGTGGCCTATATCAAGGGTATTAGTGTATGGAGTAGAGCAGCTATTTTGTTGTCCACTTTACTTGACAGAAACAGACCAGCTGGAAGTCTACAGACGGCAAATTCTTGGCGCGCGGTTCCCGTTACTTTGCAACCTAACAAGAGTCGAACTACCACGCGAAATGTGATCTACATATGACGGTCAATGACTGAGCCATACTGGATGTATTTAAACAGTACGATGTGATCCGATCAACTAATTTATACACATAGATTGTCAAAATAGATGAAAAGTAGCCCAAGGATGACCATTGGAGGGAATGAAACATAAGCCAAGATTAGTACAATATACAAGTCAATTAATGAGTCAGGATTGAAACAAATAGGATGAGATCACTTATGAATTGGTGAAAATGATTAAAGCGAGAGGGAGAAAGCACAGAGTACAATCTAGAGAAAATGTGCCAATTGTACAGCTCTGAACAAGCAGTATTTTAGGCACTTGACCCAAACTTACATGGAGAGTTCAAACGGACATCTTTTATCGGTTTCCTATTAAAAGAATCGTGAAATCTGAGGTCTCTCCATCCTTTTACACAATTCGGGAAGAGGGAATCTTAAAAATAAAAGACCGGGCTAGGTGGCGCTTCCTAAGATGACAAGTGCATACAGAAGAAGCCTAGGTTGTGCTCTATAAATCTGTCTCAAAAGAGGTGTTCCGAAGATTTGCAACTGCGGGTTGGGAGGAGGACCGTTGAGAAGACCTGGAATAAGGCTCGTCCTGACATGAACCTTGGGAAAAGCGTGGGATACGAGAAGGAACAGAGGGATTTTCCATTTTGAACATGGGTCCTAACGGTTGGCGGAAACCTAGAGGTGACGAATAGCATAGCTGACCATTTGACAGGGAATTTGATTGCTTTTTCGGACGGAAAGGTAAGTCCTTAGACAGAGCAGTGGTTTGTGCTGGAATTGGGTGTGTAAGTAGCCGATGGGCGAGTCTAGTTCCATTAGAATACGAAAGAGATCGGTTCGGGTGGCTAGGGTTGTCATGAATGGTTGCAGCCGAATTGGTCAAGATTTGGTCTCTAGAAGGAGAGGGGTTTTGAATATTTTGAGGATCCTGGTTTGCGGTTTCATTATGGCGATGGTGGTAATAGTGAAAATAATGATGGTGGTATTGCTGTGAATCTGTAACCCCGGACTGGCCTATGGTTGAAACACACGGAACAGCCACAGTTTCAGACCCAGGTGGCTGATTGCGAGTGTGTCCCATATTTGCTTTGAAGATCGTAAGTGGGAGTTTGTTGTACAGCTGTGGCCTAGAAGGCCATCGTTGGGCGTGGCTACGATGTAGATTGCGTCCAACGGAGGCAGATCGGACCTGGGAATAAAGTGGTCGTTGGAGATCCTGTCGAGCAGAACGATCTGCGAGTGTGGATGGAGCACAAACGGGGTCTGCGATTCTATTGCCGGTGAGCGGGGGAGTGAAGCTTCGAGCCGAATGGTCCGTCGCTCCTGCTGCACCAGGCCGAGCAAAACCGAATCGGCTGGAATCTGGCTCAAACTTTTTGATTAAGGGAGTTACTGAGTTGGGAACTGCAGGGCACTTCGTCGCGCTGCTGCGCTGTGTTCGGGTTCGAGAAGAAGAAGCAGTAATACTCCATTGGTCTGAATGTACATGAGACACAGAATCCATGCAGTGATAAATGCTAACGCCAGCTGATCCATTCAAGTTCACCTGTGGAATCTGTAGTATTCGGTTTGATGAATCTGATTGCCCTGAAGAACACGTACCTGATGGGTGCGTCTCCTTTCCCGAAGCTAATAGCTGCCCTCTAAAGCGCTGAGTGGAAATGGAGTGCAGATGGCGCGCCTCGTTCACTTCTCTAGTCATAGGACGGACGATATTGATAACGGATCCAGGAGAACCCTCTGAACCAGCAGACCCGTATCCAGAAGATGCGTGGGACAGAGGTTCCTGTGACTGCGCTGAGGATGTGGCTATATGCTCTACTCCGACTCGGGTTCCACTAACAGTTGAAAGGGGAGGGTAAATTGACGAACTGTGAGAAACGACAGGTTGAACAGACATAAAACTGCGATCACGAGTGGCCGAACCGAGAGCGATACTGTTGTTTGAATTTATATCATTAGCATGTTCGTTCTTATGCTGATGCTGAAGAGGAGAATAAACGTTTACCGTAGGAGCAGCGACAACAACGACGTCCAATCCATTTTGAGAATCACAACGATTGTCCGATGCTTTTTGTTCGAACGAATCCCCCAAAGACACACTACTGAGCGCCTGAGAAAGGTCGGGACTCACAGTAGAATTTGAAAGCGGAGAATTGAGTGACGGAGAACTGCTGGCAGCCGGGGAGTTTGGGTCAACCTTGTGTGTTGGACTAGGACTGTTCGGCCGATGTAAATATTTGAGTGGGATACACTGAAGCCAATCCAGCACATGGCGCGGGGGGACGTTGTGACGACGAAAGAAATCAGTGTTCATGAGAGCATGGTATTTAGGCCGCTGTCGATGGTCCTTCTTCAGACTGGAGGAGTAAGCAGAAAAGAAAATATGGAATATGAATTAGCTAGGACGTGTGGCGGCATGTATCAGCGAAATAACGAATGAAAAATCAAACAATACCCTGTGAACATAAAAATAAAATTTGTGGATTTTGTCGCGTGGTATAAAATAGACCCATGATGAAGAGTTGGTAGGATCTGAAATGTGCCTGGTAACTACTGAGGATCATCAGCAATGCATAATTCACAAATCTCAAGAATGCTTCAAAGTGGACCTACGTGATGACGCCTGAAAACTAACATGCGGGTGATTTACCAACTGCGCAGTTGCCTTGCAGAAATGAGATACACTGACATTCCTCAACAAATGGAACACATTCAGATTATGAATAACACACTCAAAAAGCAGAACATGTAACTAACTTCCCTCCGAGAAATCACCGCCTATCAAACACTAGGTTATGCAAACTGAACGTGCCCAGTTGAACCATCCTATCTGCTTGCTCGTCAGTCATCTATAAAAAGTTCGACTCTCCCTAGAGATTTATGATGGGCTGTGATAAAACGACCTGTCAGTTTTTCAGTACAGCCACACAAGAAGAAATTCAAAGATAATTCCAAAATAGGCTCATATCTTGACATGTAAAAGCGCACGACTGATTTTCATTCGCTCGAATCGTTGGCGTTAAGATTTACGAGGAATTTAGCATCCTCCTTTTTGATTGTGGATCTCGACTATTGTTTGAACCGGCAGAATAAAACATCTGTCCGAATATCTCGGAGTATAAATAGCCAGTCATCACGTTTGTACAGTTGACTTCTTTGTAATCTAATCCCAGGAATACAAGAAAATTCACGTAATTTCTTCGAACACTGACTTTCAGATTGTTGGTTCCGCGGCATTCAACACCGGTTTCCCTGCAGAAGGATTGTGACAACAGGGAATTCGGCACAGCGGATCCATGATCGAGTAATTATGCAGAAGGTTCGACCTACTCACCGGAAAGCCCAATACTGGGCTGCGTTACTAGAAACGGTAGCCTCAGGAACAATGATTCACTCACCGACCGAAAAATCATTGGCACTTATGGCAACCTACCTGACTAGTAGGAATTAGAACCAGAAACCCAGATGCTGCGTCAAACAGCTGTACACCCCTCAAAGGTCAAGAAGCACACGGAACCCTGGTCATCATCTACTCGTTCAGCAGTGGAATCGTTTAGATTATCGTCAGTGGCCTCAGAACAGTGCCAAACGATACACGACTGAGCCATAAACGTCCTATTTATCCAAACTTGCCTTATCAGGATTAATATCGACCTCAACGACACATTATAAATGACTTAGTCTGTAGAACAGCAGATATGGACTCGGAACAAACTATTAGGGTGTTATCAGGAAGGTCAGACTCCTGAGAGCAACCACTGAATGCCTGAATTCTACTGAAACTCTCATATCCGCTAGATGCTGCCCAGACAGGCAACAACCCCTCAGTATGCAGCGCGTCACAGTCCTGTAGCAAATCCAGACGGCGCGCGTCAGCGTTGACCAAGGTCAGACAACGCCCAGCAATATGCGGCGCATCACAGCCTCGTACAAAAGCCAGACCATGTGCGTCAGCGTTGGACCAAGTTCAGACACTGTCCCCCTAATAAATAGCTTGAGACCGTTGTGTTTTCACACCCGCACGCACTCACGTTCTAGCATTCACTTGTTCGAAATATAGCTGTTGTGTTCTCTTCTGTTAGTCTTTTTTCCGGCACTAGCCACTGGAGCGGGTCAGCAGTCAGATACAACAGATTGGCGAATCAGCAGATATAATAGGTATAATTTAGTAATAAGTATTAGGTAACGCTGTTGTGAATAACCCGCTTTGACAGCTTTCACATGATACTTCTAATAAAGTTGATACCATATTTTCTAACGAAACTCCCAATTCGAAGTAAATTACATTCTCCTAGCATACTTTCAGTAGTTTGATATATTTGTGGTGTCAAGCAGGTATACCATTGGACCGCAAAGGTCGTGCGTATCAGGCCGCAGTATGGAGTAGTAGTACCGTACGGTTGTGAGATAGGTCTGTCAGCTGAGGATCTGAAGCTCCTTCAGTACAGTCACAACTTGCATCTCAGAACCACAGCTGGTTTAAGTGGTATTAACGAAATCGATACAAAGAGAAAGAAAAAAGAGTGTTTGGTTACGTAATGTGTTCTTCGCCAGCGGAAAACATCCAGTACCATGACTCGGACGTGTGCTAAGCTTGACGAATCATTTTCTACCGAGACCAACGCTTCTCTCTATTACCCTCAGACTGATGACCATTGAATGAAGGGAAAACGTGTGATATGGCAAAAATATGAAAAATACTACGCAAAGCAAGTGTTGATGGGCAATGTGACATACGGCCTAACCCATACAGACATTTCAGTCCAATTCAATAGGCGAAATGATGACAGCGAAAAAGCAAGCTATTTAAATCTGCGAATGAGATGACGGCAGAAGCGATCGAAGCTCCACATACGCAAAAAAGAAACACGTGGGGATGTAAACTCAACGTGTGAAGCGAGAAGACGAGATATATGGTAGAAATGTGTATAAGACGAACCAGAGCAATGCGTTCTTTGGTGATTACAAATAAATGGCACGAAGGTAAGGTTTGGCGTGGTGTAACGTTGTGAATCGCTGTTCCTATGTACGTAGCTGGTGGCATGGAGGCGAACAGTTGACAGCAAAAACAGATGCCGAAAACTGTTCAACCGCCCGAACCACGTCCTGTTTTCGTGTTTTTAGCGGACAGTGTTTAACAGCAACTGCGGTGCTCATTTTTGGTTATGTTAGCAGGTGTGTTCTAAGCTGAAGCAAAATCACGATGTGAAAAACAATTGATAGAATGGTAATAAAATAAAAGTGGGAAGGTGTTAAGCTGTCACTAACAGACTATACTGTTTGTATTTCCAACACTTAGTTGACAAACCGAACAGAAACTGATGGTAAGGAAGTGCTCAGTGGAAACTCGAGCATCGGATTTCGATGCGCTCCGTGACAACGGTGGATATGTCTGTCCTCACTAGCATGTGGATATCATTTTGATAACCTACGAGATTGAATGAAGTCGTAAGACTGAAAGCATGATTAGAGTACGCGTCCTGGTTGACAACTTCACCTTAGAAAAGATCAAATTTTGATGGAAGATGCATGCTAGGCAAGTTACTACACCAATCTTCCTCACTGTTGTCAGCGGATTTCACTAATCGAGGAAAAATGACTACCCTAAGTGAGAATGGTGCTGGACCCACACGAAAGCAACACTATCCTCTAGCATCAAAGTGGTGAAAACACAGCTAACTGTTGGTAGTGTGAGGAGAATTGGGATTTTTGTGGAAGAATAAACTTCACCCGATGAGTGAAACTTCCTCTGAGAAGTCGTTGCTCGAGGAGCCAGTGAGCACGTGTGACCGCGTGATGTGGATCCCGTGATTGAAGGATGAGCGGCGCTATATCCTGTCTAAGTGCGAGTTAATCACACTGCTGATCAGCCACTCGTGGCCGAACGGTTAAGTGTTCAAACTACTAGCCGGGAGGTCGCGGGTTCGAGACTCTTCGGAGTTTCGTGAGATGCGCACTACTGATGATTCCCACTAAGGATGAAACAGCTGTACAGTGCTCGTCGGCTTTTCAGCATAGATTGGCTTCACTTACAGGACGAAATCTCCACAAAAAACAGCTAACTGTCTTGTTAGAGAAAAGGGATATCGAGTTAAAGTCTACCCTGCACATGAGCAAGTACCCAAACCAGATGGTCGGGTGTTCTGGCTGGAAGGTATTTTTTAGTCAATGGAAAGGAAATCACATGTTGACGGGTGGCAATGTAGTGTCCAGTTTGACATCAATTATTCTCAATAATAATTTCAATCAACCTTGAAACACCATCAAACCGACCAAATAAATTGAGAAAAAGTGTGCCTCAGGAAGCTGCGGCAATCAATCATTGGAACTTTATCCATAAAAGTATCTCAAAACAATCATTGGGATAAGACCAAATAGTCCTAACATGGCCACTAGCCTTCCCAATATTTCGGACCTAACTTTGAAAGGTGAAGCCGTCCGAGATATGAGATGCATCGAACACATTATAACATAAGGCTAGGTGTTTAGGCTGCTCCACACATACCGCCTATTAACAACTCTAGTTTTCCTCTACTTCGAAGGTGTCTTCGACAATTTGGGTAGACTGTCCCATCTGCACATAACTGGAACAAAGAACACACTTGGATTTTTAGATTATTCTTCCTAACACTTATTCCCATGCATAAGGGTGAGAAAGCAAAAGTCTTCCCATAACCAGTGGAGTTTATCAGATAGTTTGTTCTTCTCTAGTTTTCTCAGTTAACGCCACAGTGAGTGCACTCTCCTGCTGATAGCGTCTCGATTTAACAAGATGCTCAGATGTGTTATGAATCTTGCACTTGATGGAGATGTAAAGTATATTGCAGTGCTTTCTCACCCGTACCGCTCCCTTCAATCGTCACCTGGACTTCTTTCTTCATATTTGAAGACAAGTTCGTATTAATGCTAGTGTTGTACGGCAGTGAAGCATCAGTGTCAACACCGATGTTGCTGTCATTGATGATGACGATGATGAATGCTAGTGTTTTGTCGTCTACGAAGACGGTCATGGTATGAACCAGTGAAAATAAAGGAGGGGAAATTTCTGCCGTAATGGATTACCAAAAAAGATACCGCCGTAAAAGTGATGCTGATCTGAAAGGGTGTGATGAGTTACTGCTTCAAATGCCTGGAAATCGACAAGGTTCGAGGAAAAATCCACATTTGGCCATAAAATCAAGACATTATCTTTTCCATCTAAACGATATTTGATAGACTTACCAAAGATCGATGAAATGTCGGAAAGCCGAGGAACATGGAATATGGTGTGGTAGCGATGGAGGTGGTTCAGATATGATCTTGCTCATGATTGCGAATTCAATTTCTGTGCCTTTGTAGGGGAAAGATCCAGTGGCTAATTCCAGGAGTGATATGCCGAGTGACCACACATCTGCTCTGACATCATACGAAGAGCTTTCAAGGCGTTCAGGGGCCATATATCCAATACAACCAAGTTGTCTTGATCGGGCGATGGAATCTTTCAGTTCCCCACTGATTCCAAAGTCGCAGAGCTTTACTATACCTTCGTAACTCAGCAGCATATTGGAGGGTTTTACATCTGGTAATAAGTCCAAAAGTGTCATAGATCAACTCACCTCTGTGCATGACGTTGTGTTTATGTTTCAGATAATCTAAAGCTGTTGTTATCTATGCAAAGTCAGATGAGAAAAAACAACTTACAGATACCGTCACCTTCCCCAAAACCTTTTCAGGGAATGGACGGTGGAGGTCACGCAATAATTTGTCCAAACATGTCGACATGATTTCCATGCAAATCCAGACGTCACTCTAAACAAAAAATAACCTAAACGACTATTACATACCGCGGTTAGGAATATCCCGAAGCAGTGAACTATGTACTCACAGTCATTGCATTTGGTAACAACATAAAGATCCCTCATAATTCGCTTGTTTTCTTCTGGGCAAGTTGAAGACCGGCGCATGTGCTTTACAGCCATAACGAGTTCCGGCTTAGTTCGGTGTCGCATTTTATACACTTCGCTACATGTTCCGGAACCCAAAAGGCATTCGCTGATGAAATCGTCCATCTTGGCGGATAATGACTGACCAATACGTTTGTTAAAATAATGATCAAACCTGAACGCCGAATACCAACATTCCGCTCTTCTTTTCGAGTTCGGTCTGCAACGACTCGGGGTCACAAAGTGCACTACATATAAATACAAAGTAACGAAATAAAAAAATTACTTTTCATCAATAGGAGAGGAAACCGACAGATCTGAAGGTCTGCTTTTTGACCTGGTTGCCGGTGATTCTGACCGATTGCGGCCTGTCATAACTAAAAGGAGAGAATCGTACGTTGTTTCACAACCACATACGGGCAGTTGGACGCTGACAACGAGCTACCGCCCTTCTTGGGTGTGGCTCAACAGCAGGCACACACATATCGAAGTCAGGTGTGGTTTCTGAAAGCACGCCAACTTGCATTCCATGTCGCACATCGAGGCTCGTGAATTCATTCGGCATTACAGCTGCGGTATGCACGCTGCGAAAGCACTCTGGAAAAGTGGTTACTCGCAGACAGGGGTATTAAAATTCTGTGGATGAAAAGAAAAAAGACTCATCAGCTAAATCGGGGCAACACCATCAATACTTGCACGGGAAAGTTACCCTCTTGAAGTTCAGCGTTCTAAGTGGACCGGACGGTGCCAGCTGTATTGTGCTGAGCGGGGGTGTGGTGGAGGTGGCCGGCTTGTCTAAGGATGGATGGCCTTGCAAATAAGCGTCACGTAAATTAGGTCCGGAATTTTTCATTATGCATGTGTAATAACGGTAGCGCCCCAGATCCGTTCTCGGTCTGAACCTTCTAAGCTAGCGCTCTCGGCAAAAGAACCACCAAAAGTACACAAAGTACATTAAAAGCCCGAAAATAGGTCAAAAGCATATCTACAGCGCGTCATATTTAAAGTGTATGAAGCGGCAACATTGAAAACTCCGATACCTTCTGGACGCGCCACTGGCGACCGACATTCGGCAGATACCGAAGCATGATTACCTGCTGGGTTCACAGTTTCGGCCAATCAGAGATCACCTTAATACGGGCCCAATCCTTTGGCTATCCGCAGGCGAATTGTGCCTCCTGGCTGTAGCGGCACCTAACTGAGAGCGGTAAGGCGGCTTTGGTGCAGGACTCCGCCTAACAGCGCATTAGCTTCAGAAGGAGAATTCGCCGTCGGACATTTCCCACAAAGGGAGAACCCTGAAAGGGAACTGAGGCTTCTGAAGGGTCAGAAACTTGAACTATGGAAAACAAGGAGGGAAGTGTCTCACGGATAATCTGTTCCGGTGAAGGGATGGTTACGAAGGATGGTGAAAACCCATCCAAAAACCCTGTTTTATCTTTCGGCACGCACATGAATTATAAAGTGCTGCTGAAGAACTCAGTGAAGCCGAACTCAAGCCTCGTATTTATAGGTGAATCGACCTACCTAAGGAACCGCAAGTCCCCGGGGACCTGTGAAACATGCAATCACATACCGGACCTGGAAAGTTAGAACGGTCTTCGCGAATATATAACATCCGAAACACCGGTGGCCGCAAGTGTAATCTGTTCTAACGTATGAAAAGATATGGTTACCAGGTACAAATCTTCGAAAACCCCAACCTTCGCCATCCGTACATCCGAAGCATTGGTCAAATCTAATGGGAACACTGTACTACTAACCTTGAGATATATTATTATCATTATTATCTGCAGTGAAAACCGCATAAATGTTGTAATGGTTAGAGCTGCTGCAGCTTTGCTCGCTGATGATCCGGGGTGGTAGGTGTGGACAGCTATGAATTGGAGGTGGTAAATGATATTGTTGACACATGAGTACGGATGTGTCAGTGGGCCTTTCAACAAAGAAATCTGAAGGCAACAGTCTAGAGGCAGGAGCACCACTGATCGCGCGACTGAGTCATCAATGTCTCTAACCGTGTTGTCTTTGGGCCCCCTCCAGGAAGACGACAATGACCGGAGCATTCGGGTTTTCCGGTAATGGCTTTCATGCCTCGCTGACGAGTCGTTGTTTGACCACTTCCCTTAGCTGGCTGTGCGAAGAGGGCTCTCCCAGGAATTCGGCATACAAAGTGATCAAGCCCACGCAACCCGTGGAGTATGGTCAGTTCATTTATCGTAGCAAGAACCACTGAAGGCGCTTCAGCAGTATTGCTCCGGTTCCCCCCCCCCATCTCCCCCAGATTTCAACAATGCTTCGAAGACACCAATGTTCAAACACTGGAAGTCTTTTAACGTCATCAGGGTGCAGAGGCCAAGTTTCTGACCAACAATATAATATGGAGCAAACCGCACCGCAGCAAAGTAAACTACACTCTTGACGGACAAGCCGACATCACATCAGCAGAACTGGTGGTGGATATTCACAGAAGCTCTTCTAACCTTTTGCAGTGCGGATGGAAATATCATTTTTGGCTGGACCACCAGGACTGATTCAACTGTCCACCTGTCAGGAAGGTCAGATTCCTGAGAATGATCCCAGAATGCCCTAAACCTACTGAGACAATGAAAACCCATCAGTGGGGCAGGCCGTAAAGCATCCAGGCCAGAAAAGCAAGCTTCCGGGACTGATTCGTCCACCTGTCAGGAAGGTCAGATTCCTGAGAATGATCCCAGAATGCCCTAAACCTACTGAGACAATGAAAACCCATCAGTGGGGCAGGCCGTAAAGCATCCAGGCCAGAAAAGCAAGCTTCCGATTGAACCTTTAGGCAGTGTTTAGACATGCCACAGATGCGCGGCCGACGAGGATGTGTGTCCACCCAAAGCCGACCAGATAGCCTGAGTCAAAGTTAAAAGTGCACTTTAAACACCACGATACTCCTTGTGACTTTTGCACTCACTTGTTTGCAATAAAACTGCAGTGTTCCATGTTAGTGAGTCCTTTTCCGACACTAAGACACTGGATGGAGGATAGCATTTAGTTACAATACTAACTCAATCGGCTCATCCGCAAGCATAAGATTCGGGTCCGGGCCGAACTTTGCAGCAGAACTTTACACTCAGCAGGTATGAAGCTCATACCAAACCGTGAGGGAGAATTATTTGGCTTATTCATTATCGCCCGTATTGCGATTGTGTGAGATTCAAGATGAGTTTTTTCATAAGCATACTGGATATCAGTGAGCGGACTCTCTGACAGCATTTCGACCCTACAAGTATTAGGGGTTGGAAGATTCGCATGCCAAACCATCATTTATCCGTGCCAGATTGAGAGTGGCGAAATTAAAGAGGTGGACAACCCTTGATCCGCCGGAGGGGCATGGATGAGATTTTGAAAAGTCTGGTTAATGTCAGTGCGACTCGTATTCCAGGACGGAGACCGCGTGATCTATAGTGATCCTTCTTGGAAACACAGCAAGATATGGCTGCTAACCGATCTCAATGGCGTTTCTAACCAGATGGCTTGAATAATTGTCTGGAAATGTAGGTACAGTACAATGATCATGGTAGCCTAGCACTGAGCCCTTTCCCCACGACTTTCCGGCCAACAGTTGAACACAACCATTCGTCTACGAGCGGATGAACAGCAATATGATTCGCCCCAATACGACAGGATCCAGAGCAACCGGAAAAAGCACATCGAGAGGTTTTGTACTGACTGAATTCTCGAGTGATTAATTCTCAGATGAAAGTTTCACTGATCTTGCGAAATTTAACGTTTGGGGGAGTTGCACGTTTCCTGCTGGCATGAATTTCCTGGCATCAATCAGGACTAGCGATCCAGGCGATATCTAGTGGTTATATCGGAGAAGTCGGAGAGACAGCGCTGAACGCCGCTAGCAGAGCTCTCGCTATGCTTCAGGCGTATGCTCACTACCAGCAGAAAGTCGTTGAGCTAGCTTAGATCGATACTGATGAGCTATACCAGTTCTACGAAGACGGTGGATTTGTACATTCCTTGCTGACTTTCAAGAGCCTGAAGGAAGCGAACTGTCAGGTGTGTTGTTTGCATTATAACGTGATCGGAATTAAATTGTGTCCCAGAATGGAGGACAGTCTTGAACTGCGGCTGTCTGTGGGTGGCTGATAGCTACGTGATCGTTGGTCCCACGGTTGGTTAGCACTTGGCGGTCGTGTGGTTGCGCGATTCGAACACTTATACGGAAAGTTAGTACTGCCCAGTAACAGTTGATCAGCGTACAACCGGAGGAGTCGCCGTTCATTGTCTACGCGACGAGCATCGACTCTGATTCGACCGCCCAGACGTGATTCCCAGATAAGAAGACAGAAGTGAGGATTCATATCGCCTGCAAGTTTCACGGTACGAGTACCACTTGCTCGACGAATGAAAAAAAGTAGAAAGTATCCTTCGCGTCGGAATACATGCCGGTGGGTATATGACCACACTACAGACTGGCAACGCTTTTTGCCTCGGCTAGCACTGAACTTGACTGAACTGCATAGCCAAATAGCACAGAAACGACTGTTTACTGAAATCAATCCAGTAAAGTGCATTCAGCTCTGAGACTGGATGAAAACCTACGCCAAAAGCTACACGGGTCATCGCTTCGGGATCAACGGACGTACGGAGAGTCGTTATGCAGCCAACCCGATTCATGGTCCTGAGACAACGGTTATGAAAGACCTTGAGACGCCTCAAGCTCGCTTCTCGAAGGTTTCATGTTTCATCTACAATGTTTCGTGTACAATAAGACAGCCCGTACTGTAATCACATACAAACACTCCCCTTGAATCAGGGATATACCGTCATGTCGCTATAGGCATTCTAATTTGGCAGACGCGACGCGAGCGATTCGTCCGTTGGCTTCAACCGTCACAATCTAGTTGAAAATTATACAACTTCCAAGATAGGTGAAATGCTCCACAATTTCCAGGGCCTCCCCTTGGATCGTCAGTGGCGTGTTCAGTGATCACATGCACAGGAGCACGACCTTACGATTTGTGAGCGTATTGCACATACCAAAGGACGGGATGACTTTTGTCATTTCATCCGAAAACTCTTGCGCCTTCTTCTCTTCGGAGACGGGAACGATGTCTTGTGCATATAATAGATCAGAAGCTAGTAGAATATTAGAGCTCTGAAAACATTCTGGCGTTTGTCCAATTACCTCGTCGATCACACAACTGAATAGGAATGGAAGGAGTGAACACTACTGTTGCACACCGCTATCTGAACAGAAGCTTCTGGAGAGCTCTCCGTGTAGTCACACATCCCCAGAGGTTTGGGAAAGATTTCATTATGTTCACTACCGAGGAATTCCTTGACGAGCAAGTGTTGCACGTATTACTGAAATAGTTTTCCGCCGTGACTGTATTTCTAGAACTCTTCTACTTTTCAGCCTTCCGTGTCCCATAGGCTTCACAGTAAGGGCTCGCTACGTTTGTTTTAGCGTTTGATAGTTTGCCGCGCTGGATTCTATTCTGACACGGTGAGAACAATCCTCTCAGATTCAGGTAATGCTACTGTTCTGTCTGAAATGCAATGCTTGAGCGGACATTGGAGGGCCCTGACGCAGGCAAAACTCCCAGTCCCGTGCACAGATAAAGTAGTGCCGTCCCAGCACGGACAGACATTCGACGATGCAGCAGTTGGAGAGTCCTGAAGATGATTTTCACAAATTCTCCTAACTTCGGGATCTGCTAGCCTCTCAGTTGCTAAGCGATTTATCCGACTCTTATGGAACTTCGGAAAACGAAGGGAGGAGCGGCTCCGGATAAGCGCATGGTTAGAATCCACATATGCTCCAAAACAAGCGACAGTCAGGTATTGATCCACGCTATTAGGGGGCCAGATGGCTCAAGTGGTTAGAGCGCGAATTTACTGACCGGAAGGTCCGTAGTTCGAACCCAACCTCTGTCTCTCGACTTCCCCTGTCTAGGCTTGGGCAACCTGGCAGTATCACATCCCTCGTGCTTCCTTCGGGTAGTATGGCAGCTAGGCATCGGAAGGTTGTTACAGCTGGGAGATCGGTAAGTACTGACATACTAATGATCGTTCAGCTGTTGCACTCTTTCGGTGCCTGGCCGCGATGCCGACGGTAGGAGGCACGAGGGCCGAGATAATGCCAAGTAGCCCAAGCCTAGACAGCAGCAGTCGAGATGCTGAGGTTGGGTTCGAACCACAGACATCCGGGTCCGTAAGCTGGCGCCTTGACCACTGAGCTATCTCGAGTTTTATTCGTGAATGATGAGCTTGAGAGAGTTCAGAGGTTAAGACGCCAGCTAACGGACGGGAAGTTTCATGATTCGAACCCAACCCAACACCAGCACAAACACTCACATTGAGTTACTTGGAGCCCATCAACAGAAAGATGGTCATGGATTCAGTGATAGATGAAGAGACTCCATTGAAGATTTTCGTTCCTTCCGACGTACGCAACTTGAATCTGACCATGCCATTGTGCGGGTCCGTTATCACCTCATTTTCCGTCAGCATTAGGCGTGCCAAAGCAGAGCTACTCCATTCACTAACACCGACATCTCTCACTAGCTCATGAGTATCGAACTGACTTGGAAAGAAAGTTACTGGAAAAACACAGTCATGTGAATAACTATTGTTTGGCGGCTGACTAGAAGCTGGCTGAAGAAGCTATGCTCTCAGCTTTCAGCCTTGTCTACTCAAGCCAATCGACTCAATTAGATTAACAGAATATCGCCGAGATCAGCAGGTCTTATTTCTGCCAGGAACTAGCAGCTGTCACGGCGCATGCAATCATCATCGTCAGCGACGGCAACATCAGTGTCATCATCATCATTATTGTCAGCTGTAAGAACCGCGTACTCGTCGTACACTTGGTTGTAGCGCCGCGGTTTCGTTCACCGATGATCTGGGGGATAGGTAGCTGCGCATTGCACGCGTGAGGTGGTAAATTGGTGCATAAATCCAGCAACCTCTTTCAGGACGGAACCCAGCCTGGTTTTCACGGACATCTCCCTGGTTCAGTCAACCTTCGAAGGATAAGGCCAGAGAGCACCTTCGATGCCACAGCTAACAGGCTGATGCCACGGTGGTTTTCGGCTTGCGTCCGTGTACCATTTTTGAAGATAGGGATAACTGTTGACATGCCCCATTCTGCAGGCACTTTCTCTTCGTCCAACATAGTGCCAATAAGCTTTGTCAGGTGAGTCAACAGGGAATTTCCGCCTTCTTTGAAGAGGGCTGGATACAGATCGTCCGGTCCTGGTGCCTTCTCACGTTTCAGTACGGCTATTTCATACCTTATTTCTTCTTCCGAAGGGCGATCAAGGTTTACATTCCATTCGCCCGGATGCATTATCTCCACGGGCTGTGTTGCAGGAGGCCAGCTGAACTGCTCTTCGAAGTGTTCGGCCCATCTCTCCAGTTGACGTTTTTGCGAGTGAATTAATGAGCCATCTTTTTCACTTATCGTTTCGCTGACC